ACAATTAGGGTTAGAAGCAGATGTTTTGGCGAGTGTTACAATGAAGGTGATAAATGAAGGTGTGACTCAAATTAGTTTTACCGACCCCCACGATGAACGTCACTTTACTTGTCAAAAGTACAAATGCGTGACACTCATATGCAAGTAGGGGTGACCAAAGGCTTTAAGAAATTATGGTGGGTTTAGGGCTAGCTCACGGTGGTGATGAATCATGTTTTTAGGTGTTTTTGGCTAGAGAGAGAGAGAGAGAGAGAGAGAGAGAGAGAGAGAGAGAGAGAGAGAGAGAGAGAGAGAGAGAGAGAGAGAGAGAGAGAGAGAGAGAGAGAGAGAGAGAGAGAGAGAGAGAGAGAGAGAGAGAGCAAAATCACATGAGGTGAGAAGCTCTGTATTTTTGGAGTATTCATGTGTATATTCGAGTTGTCTCATCAACCTTATAGTCAAGGTATTTATAAAGGCGTATGCACCCATATTTATGGGACTCTTAGGGTGTAGTAACCATCATACTTTGATTGGAGAAACTGTTGGCTACCTATTTCTCAAAGAGTCGTGTTAAGATTCCATGAACACGTGGTTATAAGTTATATACACACAACCCACCACGTTTCTCATCAAGACGAATAGCCTGCAGACTGAAGGTTATGTCTTGGTGCAATACTCTAGGGAGATTGCCTTATGGGACTTGACCAAATATCAGCCCGTCATAGACATTTGCAATTATATCATTAGAACCTTATATTTCACACTTCTCCTTTATAAAATTTTGATGAATCTTTGTCGTTGAAGTTATAACTTTTCTCTTTTAAAATTAGAGTCCGTATATTTTTTTAGCAATATAACAAAAAAAAACATGAAATTGTTTTACCACATTTTACTTTTTTTTTGGTTGAAAAAAGATTGATTCTCAATGTCACACTTAATCATATTTTCAAAATATATTCAATTTTTATTTTTAAACAAATAATTTAGATATTTTTAATTATAATCAATTTTAGAAACAATATTTAGATGTTTTTTCTCTCAAAATTTGAATTCTATGTCAAAAGTATATATTTAAATGTGTATGAAACCATAAAACTAGATTTGTTTAAGAAAAACTAATTTTATGTTAATATATTCTACAAATAGATCAATATAATAAAAAAAAAAAAAAAAAACTTTTTTATTTATTTTTGGGTCAGTCAAAGAAAAACGTTAATTTTGTGGTTATCGGTAAAGGACTCCGAAATGTTTTCGCAAAGCATTTCCAACCCGGCTCATGTAATTCGGGTTTTAGGGTTTTCCTCTGCTCTATAAATTAACAAGCAGCAACCCGTTTCTCAATATTAACAGTTCCATATTAGGGTTCGGCAATGGGCGATCTAGATCTACAGATTCACCTCATTCCAAATTTCGCCCTTAATGCCTAAGCTCCGTTGCAACTGCTAGATCACCGCCGTTCGTGTTGCAGCTCTCCCTAATTTTCACGGCGATCTGTATCAATTTGATTTGCTTTTTTGTTTGTTGATTTTGCCTAACTACACCTTTAGCTTGTTTTCGTATATTCTCCATGAAAATCAAAGCTAGTCATAGAGGCACAAATTGAATCGTAGGCGGTTTTCACGTGGTGCTTTAACTTTTCAATGTTTATGCCTCTAAAAAAATTCGCCACATTTTTTATTAATTATTCGTATTTTTGATTAAATTCGGCTATGATTACATATTATCCGCGCTTCTGAGTTTTTACCATGAAGTATATCGGAATAAATGGTTGAATTTCTTGATATGAGCCAAATTTAATTTCATAGGACTATTATCTGTATCTTTGTATTTTATTTAATATACTGAAATTGAGTTTCAATTTTTTCTAACATTTGGCTATGATGACAATTTAATCAGCTTTATGCCAGTTCTGCTTCTGAAAAATCATGATTGATAGAGCTGTAATTTATTCTGAGCTTTGTGTATTACTACCTGAAGTATTTCTGATTATTTAAAAAATTTGTTGAACTATGTTTGTGTATGAATGTTAATTTTAGGTTTGTAATGGGTCAATTTGATTTTTTATACTGGCCTATGATTGTATTATATCCGAACTGTATGAGGTGTTTTGGATCCAAGCCCCTGTTTACAGGGAGAACCTACTTGGTGAAGGGACATTCATATGACAATGGATTTCTATGAGGCTTTGATTATTTGGTATTTGTTTATGTTTTTTATTTTTATTTTTTTCCGATGATGTTCTTTGACAATCCAACTTGTCTGAGGTTGTGGTTAACCCAAGATCCTGTTCGCAGGATGAACCTACTTGGTGTTGCTACATTTCCAATGACATAAAGAGATTAAACTGAGGTCTACTATTGTTAGTAATATTATTACTTTATAGTCTTGTTTATATTGAGTTTTAACTATACTCTTTTCCATTATTGATTAATTGGTTAAGAGTCTGAATAAACTCGTAGATTTAGTGTTGTCTATCAACTTCATCTTTAGTAACCACGAGAATGGAGCCAAATAACAGCACAATATTACTTAGTTTCATTACAAGTTTTTAAATGGACTGAGGTGTTGCAGTGATTATAAAAATTCCTCGTACTGAATGCTGATATAAAAGCATGACAGACACCTTACACCCATAGAATATGAGCAACACCTTGTCTTCGATTAAGATAATTTATTCTTTCAATACCGTAATTATGGTGAAGGCAGTGAAAAACAACTGTCGAAGTAAGCTTCATGAAATTAAAAATAAAGAAACTCTTTGGAGCTAAGACAAGGTATAAATTAAAGAAAAAGTATTCACGGATACCAAAAGCAATTAGACATAATAGACGAGTAATGACCTACCCTGCAATTCAACACACCAGTGTGCTAAACAGAAATTCAACTTACTACATGACTCTAAAACGTAAGCTTCAACCAACTAACTTAATCTATTAACAAGTTCACTCATCTGCCTCGACTCTAAAATACACCTTGCATCAGTCCAACATATTACAGCTGTACCACCACCTAAATTGGTCTCCTTTTTTTTTTGAAAAAGCCAAATATTATTATCAACCTTTTTTCTTTTTGAGAAAACTAAATATTATTATTAAAATAACAGGAAACAGATAAAAATATCGACACAAACAGAGGTTAAAAAATAACATCTATCCAAAATCCCAAACACAATAAGCCATAGATCCACACAATGATAAACTACGACTGCTAGGATAAACCAACATCACAGAACTACTTGCTACCACACTCAAACTGCTGCAAATAACCCTGTTGATGAAGGACTTCAGGTTTGATGATAGAATTTTTTACACAATTGCCACAAGCTGAAATTAAAAACACCAAATTGCCACTAGCTGAAAAAAATTTACAGAATTGCCACAACTTCTTTAAGGGTTCGTCCTATGGTTGGACGACCCATTGAAGGGCTTTTTGACGCAGCATGGGTTCGGCCAATGGATGGCCGACCCTGCTCTATGTCTTTTTTTTTTTTTTTTTTTTTTTAATTTCAGAATTAAAATGAATTTTTTTTTATTAGTTTTTGTTTTTAATAGAATTTTTTATATTTAAATGATTTAAATAATATTATATAATAAAAAAAAATAATTTAATTATTTTGAAAATAATTTAATTATTTGTAATATAATTTTTACATTATATAATTAATTATTAAATATTAATAATTGTTTTTTACATTATATAATTAAGTATTAAATATTAATAATTGTTTTTTACATAATCTAATTAATTGTTTTTTATATATTAAAATTAGTTAAATGATATTTTATATTACCTAATAAGTAATTTAATTATTTCAAATTATTTTTATATATACAAAATAATAAATAATTATATTAAATAATAAATTATATAATTAATTGTTTAACTAAATAATTAGATAAAATAAAAAAAAGATATTTTATTAATATTGATGAGTGGAGAAAATACATCATATTTATCTACGCAAATGACCGCCAGTTCCACACAATGTACTCTTTTTCACACGTTTCCCCCTGCCTAACTCTTGAGTTTGCCGTATTGGAGGTGATGTTGGAGGTGATGGGGTAGAGTCGGAAGTCAACTCTTCATTTTCAGGTTGACGTGATGTATCAAGCATGTCCACATCAGTAACCGAAAAACCTGGCCATTCCATGAGTTGATCATCCGTTAGGGTAAAGTTAGGGGCTGACTGGAATGGTTGGGTGAAAGTGGTTGGAGGGTTTTGTTGGATGGGAGGGTAATAAACATTGTCGGTGCGACCGGATGAACTTGGATGAGACATTGAAGGGTTAAATGTTTGGTGTTGTGGTTGGGGGTAAGAGAAATCAAAATTAGGCTGAGGGATCGGAGTGAAATGAAAAGAAGGTTGAAATGTGGCTTGTTCCTGATATTGTTGTCGATAGTAGTAGTTTGGTTGTGGGGTTGGGGTGTACGGTGTTGGTTGTTGAGAGGAGGTGGCAAAGAATGTAGTATGAGTGCGTTGATATGTTGGTTGGGGTTGTGGTTGTGTTGGTTGTTGAGAGGAGGCGGCAAAGAATGTTGGCTGGTTGAATGAAGATGTCTGTGTTTCAAATTGTGAAGGGTTCACCTGAGGCATTTCTTGAGGCATGGGCGAAGAGGATCTTTGTTGTGATGAAGACGTTGCATACTGACGGGGGTCCTCTAGGAACTGACCTTGAGAAGCGTGCATAAATGGAATGGATAAAAACCATTGCATATATTCAGCACTATGAACACAGTTACCGTTAACCATGTTACCTCGTAGGGTCAAATTTGTTCTGTTTCTCCACTCGTTATTTTCTTCTTTATTTATATTGCGCCAATGATCTCCCCATGTATTAGGCATATCAGTCTCATGTTGTTGACGTAGACATCTAGGCTGAGGAGGGATATCTTGTTGAAATCCAAACTGCAATTTTACCCTATCAGCCTGATGCATTTCAACGATATGGAAACTGATAATTGATGTTGTAGCAAAACTGTTGGCATCCGGTCAAACTTTCACGAAAAACTGTATCAAGGGAATGGCCGACGAGGCTATTAAATCTAGCAGTCATAACGTCATTCAATTTGATCGCGAGAGATTCTGTTTTATGGTTGCCGAATGCATTAACCAACGCGATGGCCGACCATTAGGTACTTTTAGCGTTGATCTCAGGAGAGGGTGGTGCGATTGTGGGAGGTTTCAGGCATTTCATTTACCTTGCTCTCATGTAATCGCAGCATGTGCCAGTATACGACAGGACCATACCATGCACATACCAGATGTTTTCAAAGTTCTAAGTGTATTCAAAGTATACAGCCAAAGCTTCCTTGGACTACCACACCAGCAAAATTGGCCAACATATGAAGGATTCACTCTTTGCCATGACGAGACAATGCGACGAAATAAGAAAGGGCGTCCAAATAGTACAAGAATTACAACTGAAATGGACGATTTTGAGAAAGAAAAGAGAAGATGTGGGATTTGTCGAGAAATCGGTCATATGCGGAGAAAATGTCCAAACGTGGCAGGCCCATCAAATCGGCCCGTCTAAAAATGTATTTTATCCACTCTTAAATATTAATAATATTTTCTTTTTTTATGATTCAATTTATTATTTTATATACTCATTAGGTAATATAAAATATCATTTAACTAATTTTAATACATAATAAATAATTAATTAGATAATGTAAAAAACAATTATTTATATTTAATAATTAATTATATAATATGAAATTAATATTATTTATATTAAATTATTTTTAAAATAACTAAATTATTTTTTTATTATTATATAATATGAATTAAATAATTTTAATATATCAAAAACAATTAAAAACACAAAATTATTAAAAAAATAATATAATAATTTCTGAAATAAAAAAAAACAAAAAAAAAACAAAAAAAAAAAGCAGCTAGAGCAGGGTCGGCCATCCATTGGCCGAACCCATGCTGCGTCAAAAAGCCCTTCAATGGGTCGTCCAACCATAGGACGAACCCTTAAAGAAGTTGTGGCAATTCTGTAAATTTTTTTCAGCTAGTGGCAATTTGGTGTTTTTAATTTCAGCTTGTGGCAATTGTGTAAAAAATTCTTGATGATACACCATCAAAAAAAAGTTTGACGTCAGCAGCATATATTGATCAAAGCCAAAGAAATCAGGTTTGATACACCGGTAAAATAACCTGCATAGATTGAACAAAGCTAAAGAAATTCAGCGGCATAGATTGAACAAAGTTGAATCTAAAAGAGATGCCTGATGTTAGCGGCATAGATTGTACATACATAGATTGAACAAAGCCGAAGAAATCAGGTTTGATGATACACTGGTAAAAAAATGTTTGACGTCAGTTGCATAGACTGAACAAAGCTAAAGAAATTTCTACAACAAATAATTCTTGAATCCAAAAGAGATGCTTTATTTCAGTGGCATAGATGGAGCAAAGCTGAATCTAAAAGAGATGCTTGACATTAGCGGCATAAATTGAACAAAGTCGAAGAAATCGAGTTTGATGATACATGCCCGACGTTAGTAGCATAGACTACTGAACAATGCTAAAGAAATTTGAAATCGAGTTTGATGATACATGCCCGACGTTAGTAGCATAGACTGAACAATGCTAAGGAAATTTCTACAACAAATAGCCGTTGAATCCAAACGAGATGCTTGATTTCAGTGGCATAGATCGAACAAAGCTGAATCTAAAAGAGATGTTTGATGTCAGCAGCATAGATTGAAGAAAGCCGAATCTAAAAGAGATGTTAACGTTAGCGGCATAGTTTGAACAAAGCCGAAGAAATCAGGTTTGATGATACACCGGTAAAAAAAATACTCGCATAGACTGAACAGATCAAAGCTGAAGAAATCTGTACAACAAACAACCCTTGAATCCAACAGAGATGCTTGACGTCAGCTGCATAAACTGAACAACTTGAAGAAATCAGCTGATTGAACAAAACTGAAGAATTCTCTATGTCAAACAACCGTTGATTCCAAAAGAGATGCTCGGCGTCAACTGCATAGATTGAACAAAGCCAAATAAGTCTGTATGACAAGTTGTAGAAAACTCTAAGACAAACATCATCTAAATCTCCATGACATGTTAAAGAAAACTCTATGAAAACAACCGCTGAATCCTAAAGAGACAGGAGACCACAAGATTTGACACCTAATTAAAACCTAATCAAAACACTAGCAATAGAACAAAATAACGAAAAGTTATAATTGGGCTGATTCCAAAAAGCATGAGATTACTGATATGAGGAGAAATTCAATTGATGAATTGCCGATTTGCTAATTTGTCTTAAATCGTTTCAACCTTCTAATAACCAACCATAAACCAACTAACCATAAACCTGACGTGAAGAGATTGAATAGAACAATAAAAATGCAAGGCATTCGCAAAACCTGCACTGCCCAGCCAGAGAAGCAACAGCCAAAAGACTTGAATCAAATACTAAATTAAGCCACCATCAAACCAGGAACTAAACCAAATTGTCAGGTAACGATAGATCTCCTCCAGAACTAACATTGTCAGACCAGATCAGGACAAACCCTCCCAACAAAATAATTAGCCTCTTGATGTCAGGACAAACCCTCCCAACAAAATAATTAGCCTCTTGATGTCAGCCATGAGATCAAACAAATCCGTCCAAATAAAGACAACCAGATATCAAACTTATTCGTCACTGACACCTAGGTTTAAACACCACCATGTTAAATTGAAATTTGATTCCTTTGACTTTACTTTCAGCCATTTCCAAGCATCCATTTTAACATTCTCTATCAAATTTTCTAGGTTTATGTTATTGTTTTGGAATATTTTCACGTTTCTCAATTTTCAAATGTTTCAACCACACGCAAACCAAATTACTTAATCCTTATTACTTACTTTACAGTCTCTAATTAGTAACCCCTCAAATTGCCTCAGATACGGAAGACTATCGGTATCGGTATGCAAACGCTGAGGAAATATTTAACCATCGACATATTTCATACCAAACACCCGCAAAGACCGAACACTCAAAGAACAAGTGGGTCGCCGACTTTTCTTTACCACACTCCCCTACGCACAAGCCGTTGCCATTACCAATAACACCTCTCCTTCTTATCTTTCGTGGCAATTCTATTTTGAAATTTTTTCCAAACTAAGCACGCAACTTTCGTCGGAACAACTTTATGCCAAGCCTTAGCACAATCCGGGTTCGCCTATCCTTTAATTATAAAACTAACAAATTTGGTCCCTTAATTAAAATGAACTTTAGATTTGTATGGTCTCTTATCCTTTTTGCTTATGTGACAACTTCATTAATGAGGTGACATGCTCTATTGAGATCCATGTCTGCAAATCCTAATATTTTAATTCCTAGCTTGATATTTTAATTCAGAAAGTATTAAAAATCATTTTTTAAATTAAAAGAATGATTTATAAATTGCTTCCTTGTTCTTCTCCATTGTTTTTCTTAAACCTCTTATATTCTCTTATGCAAAAATGTGTTTCTCATTATTTTGTCATTCCAAATCTAAAACAAAATCATTGGAAACCCATTTTACCTTTTCTATTGATGATGTTGCAGCAATTTGTTTTTAGCTATGGAAGTAGATCATCAAACCGTTCGAGGTACGAATGCATGTTACATTGTTGACAACATGGATAAATGCTAAACTAGGTCACTGTTTCTATGGATGTGAGATGTATAAGGTATGTATAAGGATCTCCATTGATGTTTACAGATTCAATGTTAATGGTATGGTATGTTGATGTTTACAACTTCATATCTATCGATGCTCACAAATTTAAGGTTACAAGAAATGCAATCACTTTGTTTGGTTGGATGAAGAGATGAATTCTAGGGCAAAAGAGTTAATCTCATCTTTGTTAAAGAACATAAATGAAGAGAAGACGGCGATTAAATCGTAAGCAAAAGAGAAACAATTGGAGATGAAAATGAAGCTGTTAAAGAAATAGTTAAAGATAAACTAGATGTTGTTGTTTGTTATGTTGTTTGCATTTTTTGGCACAACATTGATGAAATAGGTCGTAGGTGATTAGGTTTTAAGGTTATGTTTCTATGTTGTTTGATTGTAATGGTGTAAGCTGGATTGTAATACATTTTGAATGAAATTAATGGCATTGTTCAAGTTGTTGGCATTCCTCATATTTTAAACCTGTATTTTATACTTCAATTTATTGTTCAAGTCGTTGGTATTGTTCATACTACTACTGTTCAATTTGTTTGTATTGCATTATGCAAATTGTGTATAACAAACAACATAATGGACAATGATGCCTTGAACAAACAACATAATTGGCATTGATGCCTTGAAAAGACAACATAGTTTGACTTGTTTGAACATAATTGGCATTATACATAATTGAACCTGTTTGAACATAATTGGCATTATGCATACTTGGATCTGTAATTTGTATTGCAGTATGTAACAGACAAAATACTTAACATTTGAACATTAATACTTGAACCTTGTTTAAACATTAATATTTGAGCATCCAAAATAAAACCCAAGACACTACTTGAGTCAAAAAGTCATAAACAACTTAAGTCATAAGTACAACCATACAAAATAAGTCATAAACAACTTAAGCCATAAGTATAACCATACAAAATAAGTTATAAACTACTTAGGCCATAATGGAACTTTTCTTGAGTGGGTTGAGGAGCTTGTGAACTTTGAGAAAATTTTGTTTGCTTTTCCTTGGATTTTTGGTTCCCTTTCCACCTTTCACTTTCTTAGCCTTCTTAGGCTCATTAACACCCTTTGAAATTGCTCTGCCAACTGCTCTTTTGCCTTTATAACTCCTCTTATTATGTCTCATAATACCATATTTTGTACATGTGACAATTGAAAATCTCCTTGGTAGTATGTGAGGATTTCTAGGTTCATCATTTGTCTTGTTCTTGAGTTTTTTGGCCTACCTATGGCTCTCCTCATTACTGGCGGTGCCGCTAAATTCATATCAGCTATGAACCATAATTATGGTCCATTTGTTGGATACACAATGTTTGAATATTGAAGCTAGCATGATTATACCTGAGTGAATCACATAGTCAAAGATACAACAGATTCGCCACCGAACTTTATTTAGCCCCAAAGGACAGGGAAAATATCGATAAAACCCAAATGGAAGAAAAACGGCAAGGGGGTCGATTATGCGAAAGGAATATACTATCACCTTACGCATCTGTCGTACTCGAAGAGAACCATTTCCCTTGCTTCTAGGTTTGGATGAGTTATCTATCTAAAGGCTTCTAGCTAAAAAGATAGAAGAGAAGAAAGAGAAAGAAAGAAAGTGACCACGGAGGATTGGGGCCCTCGTGCCTACGTATCCTCATAGTGCAATGAGGAATTCAGAGCTCCGTAGTTCATGGAACTAGGAAAGAAAAGGAGAATATCTGGGTGGTCCAGAGAGAAAGAAGACTGGAAGAAGGTGGCTCGCCAAGATTTTGCAATCTTGTGCCTACGTACCCTCATAGTGCAATGAGGATGTCAGAGCCTACATAGTTCGTGGAACTAGAAAAGAAAATGGAGACGG